GACAGGAGGGGAGGGGTCAATTGAGAGAGAGAGAGAGAGAGAGAGAGAGAAAAAAAGAGAAGAAAAAGAAGAAACAGCGAAACGGGAGGACAAACATTAAATACAATATAGAAAATCTAGGAGAAGAAGCGAAGACTGACATGGCGTAATTAGAACAGGGGCAGCATTCAACAGGAGTAGGGCAGAGGTAGATGAGGAAGTCATCATTGTCAACACTACTCCTCCGCACCCACACTTCCCCAAGGGGCAGGGAGCCGCCGTTTTTGTATTCACCTTTCCGTGTAGTCCGCTGGCGGCTCGTTCCTCTTTGAAGTGTATGACAAGTTAATGGGAAGGGCTTAAGCGCTTTAAGTGCATGCTGGTGGCATCGGGAGGAGCGAAAAAGCCGGTGAAATGAGGCACCGCCATCGATATTCATTATATGCATTGGCTCCTTGTCAGTGAAGGAACAGAATGTGCGTTAAAGGATTAACGAAGGAAAAAAAAGAAGAAACAGGGGGGGGGGGGGGAGAGGACTGTACCACTCCGGGACAGTCACCACACAGTTGCGGCGCACTGGGAAGATATGCGCGCATGTAGGAAAAAGTTAACAAAACCACCTAGCTGTCAGCTCCTTGTCAGTGAAGGAACAGAATGTGCGTTGAAGCTTGACGAAGAAAAAAAAAAGAAGGAAAAAAAAAGCAAAAAAAGGGGGGGGACCGTACGACTTCCGGGACCACTTATCTGTGCGTTCCGGCTGTGCTTAATGAGGCAAATCATTTCTATGTTGTCAGATGCATAGGCCAAAAGCTTTGTTAGCGGGTAATATTATTGTGGTAATGAAACCGGACTGATTAGAGAGAAGCGTTTGCGTCTTTTTGCGGTCGTAACGCAGACAGAGTGCCTGGGTGTTCATTTATTCCGTATTTTATCGTGTTAAATTTGTAGATAAAATAAGATTCCCGTTGTTCCCGTTCTCTGATTGTTCGAAAGTTGTTTTCTAGTAGTGTAACCCTGATGTCATCAAAGCTGTGGTCTTTTAATGTGCAGTGTTTTGAAAGTGGAAGGCCTGGAAGAGATCGTACATGTGCCCGATGGTTGTTGAATCTAATTCTAAACGGAGTGTCTGTCTGGCCCACGTATTGCTTGTTACATACCCCACATTCCAGGAGGTATATGACATTGTCTGAGTCACAGTCTAGTGCACCTCTTATCCTGTGCTTAAAATCCGAGTGGGTGCTTTTCGCCACTGTCGTTGTCTGCATGTGTTTGCATACCCAGCATCGGCTTTTCCGCAAGGGTGACACCCAATTTGAGGTTTCACACCTATCTTTGAATTTATTAAATGATCCTTTATATTTTTCGGCATTCTGTATACAACACAAGGAGGAGAAGTGAAAATTTTGGATAGCCACACGCTCTGTTCCAATACGTTGAAGTGTTTTCTTAGGACCTTGTTTATGTTCGGTGGGTTGCTCGTGAAAGTTAATAGCAAGTTTTTGTTGCGGTGTTGGTCGGCGTTTCTCTGGTGGTTGAGAAGAATCTGGCGGTCCAGATTTTCAGCTTTTTTGATGGCGTCATTGATGATAGCTGGCGGGTATTCTTGATTAAGGAGTCCGCTGGCGGCTCGTTCCTCAAAGAGGAACGAGCCGCCAGCGGACTACACGGAAAGGTTAAATACAAAAACGGCGGCTCCCTGCCCACTTGGGGAAGTGTGGGTGCGGGGGAGGTATTGTTGACAATGATGACATTCCTCATCTACCTCTGCCCTACTCTGTTGAAATGCTGCCCCTTTCTAATTACGCCATGTCGGTCTTGCTTCTTCTCCTAGATTTTCTATATTTTATTTAATGTTTGTCCTCCCGTTTCGCTGTTTATTCTTTTTCTTCTCTTTTTCTCTCTCTCTCTCTCTCTCAATTGACCCCTCCCCTCCTGTCTCGACAGGATATAAAAAGGCATGGAACATGTGTAAATAGTATTATGCCTGAAAAAGACAGGGTTCCTGTCGAAACGTCGGCACAATAAACAGTTGTTATGTGAAGCGCAATCTACTTTCATATTTATAACCTTGCGGCAACCGAAGTTATTCTTCTATATATATAATATATATATATATAGTAAACCGGATGCCAACATCCAGTTAATTTGCCGTTTTCTCTCGTCATTTCTCACCCTCTCTCTCGGCTACAAGTCTTGCGATGAAGTGAAATAATAAGATACTTTCACTACCTTCACCTTGAAATATGTTTCATTTTCAACTAAAGCCAAAGAAAGCCCTGTCACCAGATGAATCAATTACGAAAACACCACAGAGAAAAAACTGGTCACGTATCTGCGTCCTTCGCTGCCAATTTTGTTGAAAGACAATAGTCTGCTGCCGGCCGTGTTACATCAGTGCCGATCTCATCCGCAGCCACGAATGATGCTGTTTTTTTATCTGGCCTGGTGGCAGCATCTTATGATCGGCAGAGAGTGCTTTAATGCATAGATTTGTATTTTCAGGGGAGCGTAAAAGACATTTGGGTCAATAAAATTACGTATATAGGTATTTTTTAGTAAATGAACATACTATGAAATATTTACATATTGATGTCGCCTCAGATAAGCATAAAATTTCATTTTCATCGCAAGCGTTGAAGTTATGAATGCAGTCACCAGTTCAAGGCGGGTAAGTGGTCAGCAAGTGCGTAAACTTTGGCTGGGTGTCTGAATTTCGCGATAGAAAATTAGACCAAAACTTTTGGATTCAATCATCCAAAGATGCACTACCATCTCTAAAAAAGATAAATCTAATGAGAAATAAAGCAAGCAACTGTAAACTCAAGCGGCCCACCAACCCCATAATTTTCACCACATTTAAAACTAATACACTGGTATCGACAATGCGCGGAAATAGCTCGTTGAATCGCACAAGGTTATACAGTGGGGAGGACAGAAACTCACGCCCACTTGTACATCGGCACTCCGATATTGAACAACAGAGATACGCGTGCCACCCACCCGCACTCGAAAGAGCGCATCCTGGTGGACGTTCAGAGTTGCTATACATGTCTCTTGTTGCGCGAAAAATGCATACCCTATACGCAAGGAGAATGTGAAAGGATGACGATCAAACGCAGGTACAAGCTTATCTCTGACGTGCACGGACTCGCTCACTGGATTCCGTGGCGACCGGCTGTTCCCTCGCGATCTCCGACGACAGCGCAGCTTTGGCCGACTGGGTTGGTCCTACGCCACCTCCTGCCGCCGGTCCCCGGCGACGACAGCGTATCTATGGCCGACTGAAATCGCCCTACGCCATCTCTTGACGCCGACAAGAGCTTTCGCCAGTGGTGCCCCGTCCTCGGACTCCTGTGACCACGTTTCATCTTTCCTATCTTTTCTGTCGTCGCTCGCTGTCCTTGCGCATCTCTCTATATATATATACCTTTAATTCTATCCTTATAATCCCTTCTTACCCGCATCCCTTGTGAACTACTGTTGAGGTGTCGCACGCTGATGCAGACAGTTACGGGACTCACTTTTCTGTTCTTTTCCCTCTTATAACCACAATCTAACGTGCACCTACGTTTGCGGTCTAATATTCATGTGAAAATGCGTAGGCTGTCACTGTAGAGTACTTGCAAGTCAGACAGCGTAACCCATGCCCGACGCACGAAACCGAGAAATACGGTGAATGGCGACAGCTGCTCTTACCGTCACCAAATGCATGGACACCGCAATCGACTGTATCGTTCTCAGTGCTTGCTGTATAAACTTCTCGAGAAGCCACATCTTACACTACGGCTGCAATATTCATAAACGGTAATGCGATTCGATTTCATACACCAGCATTTTGTTGGAGCCTTACCCATAGGAGAAATGAAGCCGCCCACTGCACTGTCCGTAAACAGTTAGCCGGATTGTCCTGCCGGACATGACATAAATGCCGTTTTTCTGTGAAAGACGTGGTACCAACCATCTGCCATGGGATAATGCAATGCTACAGGTTCCAAAGCGGCTCCTATACATCTCGCGGAACTGACTAACGAATAAGGCTTTGGTTGTACACGTCTCTCTGCCGCAACACATGTCCTTATGTCAAATTATTTCCCCGGCCCTAATAGGAGCTCCACAGGTATACATGTGCCTGTTCTGTACCATACCAAGGGCCCTGCATTGCATCGACGGAGAGAAAAGAGCCGAACAAAATTTCTTTGCAGATAACTTTTGGGGATTAACATCCCAAAGCCTAGACACTATTTTGAGGGGCTCCAGAACTTTCCGACACCTGTGGTTTCTGAACGTGCGCATAAGTGTGTCAATTTGTATCTGTGTGCCCGAACCGGACGCATGTTCACTTGTATATCAAAAATACTATGGCTGCGAAGAAGGCATCTGTCGTCTTCAAGTCAGCTTTTGCAAACGCATAAAGAATCTAGTGGGCATTGCGTCTATGCGTCGCCTTTTTTTTTTTCACCCGGTGTATTGTCTACACTTTGGAAGTCTACCAGATGCTATAATATGGCTTTTTTTTTTTGCTAAGGTGAACCCGTGTTGAGCCAGCTAGCACTAAGCAGCTACATTCTAGGAATATCAGTGGATATGTTTGCGATCGGCGGCAAGAGTAAGGTTACGACAGCAACATAAATTTAGTTTGACGGGCCCGCTGATAGTGGTGTGCTCGTTGTCAGAGTAATAATTGTATTTTGTGTATTAGTATTATTATGGTAAAATAGAGACAGTACTAGCAATCATATTCTGAAACAGGCCCGCGTAAGGCCCGCAGCAGTATGATTTCGTTATAGAGACTGCGGTGGCTGAATTTTCGATTGAAGTGAAAACGCTGTAGGCCCGTGTTCTCAGGTTTGGGCGCACGTTAAAAAACCCCAGGTGGTCCATACTTCCGCAGCCCTCCATTACGGCGTCTCTCATAATCACATGGTGGTTTTGAAATGTTAAACCCCGCATATCAATCAATTATTTAAAGAGAAGCTCCGTGCACTTCAAGAGAGTAGTGAGTGATAAAAGACTGAATAAAACGCTTTTTGTAGTTAATATAATTGTTATAAATTATTAGTGTCAGGCCACAGTGCAAATCTAACACTTCATGTGTTCCAATTGGTGGTTGTTGTTCATTTGCCTTCCTTATTTTATTCCGCACTCTTCTTGGGGCATCTCCTGAGGAACACAAAGAACACAGATTTAGACACTTTTTTTCACAAGGACGGTTACCTAATTGTCAAATGATTGCAGTTCACAAATAAATAATGATGCAGGTGACTTACATTAGCTGTGTATAAGAAATTAGGGTGGTAATCATCAGTCGCTATATTGGCATGATGCTACTTCTATCAGAAAACACAGGCGACTGATTCGAACTTTAGTGCTGATACTAAAAATATTCATATTCTCTCAGTGCTAGTAGAAAGAATGCTTGTGGCATGTGTGGAATGTTATAGGTTAAACACTAATCCCGTGACTCCACTCCCGGGTCCTTGTTTATGAGCAAGAAGTAAAATCTAGCCACCACGTGCAGGCAAGCCGTGTATCTCCTTTTGGTCTGAACTTTCGGGCCAAAAACACGTGCACTATTGACTGAGAAAAATCACGATATTGTTTCTTTCAATCGAACAAAAGATGGAGATATTACGAATACAAAAAAATAAAACGTTTAGTGACTCCGTATATTATGCTTCTTTTTCGACAAGAATTGTTTCTTAGCTACAATTTGACCAATAATTTATAGTAAATTATCAGAAAGCTTCGTGAGGCCGCGCTTCTTCTCGACCTCTTTGCGCATGACCTTGGCTTCATGTCTTAGTATTCTGAGGCATACATACTCTAAGAAACGCATTTTTAGACAAAATTGGGATGAACGAAATAAAGCAAAGCAATTTTTAATACTAACGAATAAAACACCTGCAGCGAGGTTCACTGATCATTCAAGCTTAACAGTACCACTACAGAACTACGGCGATGCTAATTACTGGAAAACAGCAGCATCTTTTATGTTTCATTCCCATGCATTTTTCTTATCTTCCACGGCTCTAGTGGCAAAGGAACTCGGCTGCTGACCCGCAGTTTGCAGGATCGCATCCCAGCCGCGCCAGCCGCATTTTCAATGCAGGGGAAATTGCTTGAGGAGCGTGTGCTTAAACTTCGATGCACGTTAAAGAACACCAGATATTCACCATTTGCGGAGCCCTCCACTATACATTGTCTCTCATAATCATTTGGTGGTTTCAGGACATTTTTACCCCAGATATTGATATGGATGTTTCTTACGCATCATGTCTAACTTTATTATATGCATCGTGCTGTGAAGATTATGAACGAAAGTTATCGTGTAGTGTAAGACTAATATCTACTCAGCGCTTCCTGTACTACCCACATCTATTTACAGGTATGCTTACTAGCCAGCTAGGTAAATTTATTTTTTTGAAATACAGTTAAAAGTAGTGAATAACTGTCCTTTTACGTTTGCTGTAGTCATTAGAGGAGAGTTACAGGGTATAAAAAGAACTTTCTCACTTATTTTGCCAAAATTGGTGCAATAAAGTTGTAGTTAGTTGCAACTCTGCTTTTCTCCTGCGTACTTTTGCGAGCAACATATTATACAACACGTATAAAAGGTTATAGGTATAATGTGAAGCTTAGTTTTATTAGCTACAACTGCGATATCAATTTCGTAGAATTGTGCGCATGGCTGTCGGGTGGAGTGGGACGGCGCATTCGACTCTTATAAACAAAACAGAGCTGCGGCACATATAAGCTAGTTGCGGCAGTTCTTTTGTGGGAGCTCGATTGAGGAAACGCATGACGGTGTTGACTAGAACAATTCCGTCAGTACCTTGTACGACCATCTGGTGGGCGCAAAGCATTGCGGGACACTCGGACACCGAACACAGCGACCATCTATTAAATGAACGCGGGGCTCTGATATGCAACTTCAAGTGCACGTGACGTACTGATAACCTGCTGAGCGTTATGACTCGGCGAACATGATGCTGCCTAGAGAGATGTGTTCATATCATTAGAACGTGACCGTCACTTTAGAGCGCCATGCTTTAATTAGGAAACTTTGATGCAGTGGTGCTCTTATGAGACTGGCGGCGTAAGTGAACGGTGTCTTCGAAAAGGCGCCGGATGGGCGTTGGGAATAATAGAACTACATTTACCCACTCTCAGCTTCCTCTCATGAGTGATATACGAGAACAGGCTTTTTACATCAGGGCCGAAGAAAGGGCGCTCAAAAGTCACACGGGCAGAGTTTTAAAATTCTTGCAACAGCTTTTAAGAAGACCTATTTCTTTTCGCATATATTCATGAAAGTGGGGCTGATAACACTCTAATGGCGAAAAGTTTCGATATTGTACGTTGACAAAATATTCACGAAAAAAAAATTTTCTTTATGCACATTAAATTCAACTTTCTCCACGCACTTATTATCTTCACTGTGCAGTACTGGTAATTTAACAATGTGCCTAGCCAATCAAGCTCGATTGGCTACATTGAATGTAGCGCTCAGGACGGCCTGAGAAAACAAGACAAGAAAAAATCATAACCTACTTACGTGGTGCAAGGTGTCTGATGCCTTTTTGTTTATCTTATGCCGTTTGTGCTGCTCGTCATGAACCTACTTTATTTTATTCCGCGCTTTGCTTTGCATTCTTGTATGTAGCAGTCAAGTATACCCGCACTTGCCCGTTTTCCAGCGTACCGCAAAACGCCAGGGGTGTAGCTGCGCCTCGGGATGTACATTTCGGATGTTAATGGTTCTCAGAATAATTTTGCTCATGTGTGATACAGACGGACAACTTAATTTTTGAATTGCAGATCAAAATATATTGTTGATTATGTGTAGAAAAAATTAGTGCTACTTACTTGAATATTTCCGTCAGATTTTTTTGTCTTGCTCTGACAAACTCGTTGGGCTTTTGAAGCCGAGCCTATGTAATGACCACAAAACAAAACATTATCGTTTAGGTCAAATTAAGCTTACTTTTTTAGAGATCATTGGCGAAACAGTAGCCACTGGATGTTTTTGAAAGAAGTAAAAAATTTGATAGGATAAGAGGGAGTACAGAGATGCTGAACATACGACTGTACAGGAGTAATATTTGAAAAGGAAGTGAAGCGAAATTGCATTTAATAAAACTTTTGTAGGGTTAGTTGAAACTCGGCTGAGAACGATCGGTAATTCGATATGGATAATGATTGACAAAAAGAGTGTGTTTTCAATGTGATTATTGTTCAGATGAATACTTCAGTTACTGCAAAAATATACATTTTTATAAAAGAACAACAGTAGGAATGAGTTTCTGATATTCGTGTATTGGCAGCTTGTTATTTGCGCATCAGAATGTTCTCACTTTGCGAACTTTATAAGAAGTTTATGAAAAGTGCACGAAGGACCCGTCTTGGCCTTGGCCCTAACCAGGGCTTTGTTCGGTGTTCTGCAAGGCATTTGGCAGTTCAGGGCATCTTCACCAGTGAGCTAATACAGTTGCTGGGGAAGAAGGGCATCATCAACATGGATCAAGTTCCACCAAATATCGCCACCGTCCAGATTCCACAGTTGTTCCACACTGGCAAATTGACTCCACTGGCGGCATCAATCAGCAGTCACTACGTTACATCATTTGGATACACTGCTATAAAAGAAACACCTCTCTGATGGTCTTCTGTGGGCATGAAGGACGTGGCTTGGCCATGACACTAACCAGGACTCTGGTTTTCGTTCTGGAGGACAATCGTAACAGTTATTCTTTTCGTAGTGATTTTCGCGGTATTATTGTTTTGCCGTGATCACGGAAGTGCCTTGATATTGTCTTTGAATGTCTTTTCGTGTGCAAAGTTGCTTCTCTGCGGAGACATTAAAAGTAAACCTGGTCCCACGCAAAAGCAATCGTTCGAGCAATCTATTGAAAATCAAACTGTAATCTGCAATGATATTGCAGAAATGAAAGCGTTACCACGTAATGTCAAAACTCAATTCAGTAACCTTCAGCAGATCGTCCTTCATATTGACGAAAAGCCGTGTGAAGTACCTTCAGCTTCGGTGTATGAGGTTCAAAATGTGCCGAAGTCCATAGAACCCCGTTATGACATTCCTGTCAAAGAAACTAACTGATATCAATTACAAGAACAGTCGATCAAAGAAATAATTATTTATGGCATTTCTGAATGCCCCCAGGAACGGAAGCACTTCTCAAGGAAAAAGTTATAACGACGGTATGCGGGATAAGATGAATGCACACTGTTAATCTATCGGCGACACTCACAGGATGATTGATATTACCACAATTACTTGCCATCCTTATCGCTTTGCTAGTGACGTACGTGGCTAGTGTGTATCTTCCCTCCATCAAGAAGGCTTGATCCGTTAACTTATCTTCGTGCCGCGTTTTATCGGAAAACGCCCTTCGCCAATAAGACGAGGGCAGCCGTGGGCACCAGTGTAGTAGTTCGCCATCTGTATGGTCGTTCACTTGTTTTCTTTCGGGCGCAGGTCAGCCCAGTGAAATATAAGATTGTTGCGGCTTGCTCCTGATTCTGTCGTGCACGTTCCTTCATCGTCGCGGCTGCGTGACAACTGGTGGAGATTTTTCGTCCATTCGCCGGCAAGCAACCTCGCCTCAAAAGGCTGCTTTACTCAGTTCCCCTATGAGGGCTCGGAGACCTTCCTCGCGTTGCCGCCGCGTTGCCACGGCCTGGCGATGTGTAGCTGCTGTATGGCGGTGATGGTGATCGTGATGGACGGATACCAGGCACGGCGCAAGTAGTCTTCAACTTCACGTGGCCGCTGTCCGGGTCGTGGTCGTGGTGCGTTGAGGGCAAAACCACGAAGTTCCATGCGTTTGTAAGGGCAGTATCTGAGAATGTGGCCTGGCTCACCGCAGTGAAAGCATAGTGGGCGTTGTTGTTGGGGGTTCTACAGGGGTCTGCTTTTTGCGGCGCTTCAAAAAAACAGGTGAGTGGACGGGTGACGGCGATCGCTGGGGTGGTTCGTAATGCTCACGGCACATGTTGGCGGTACCCTTTGGCTGCGTACTGCGGCAGCGTAACTTATTCCCTGCTTTTCTTGACATGGAGTCGCCGTCCGAGAAACACCCAAAGCAATGCGAACTTCGTCGCGAATGACATCCGTGAGTGACGCTTCTGGAGGCTGCAAGGGTGATGGTATAAGTAGCCGCAGCTCCTCACGGACGACTTCGCGTATTATTTCACGCAAGTTGCTGGTACTTTCAAACGTGTCTTGAGGGTCCATGGAAGCTATGTGCGCTGTACGGTTGTACTGGCGGTTTCGGGAATCTAAGGTCTTCTCAATGGTGGATGCCTCTTGCGTGAACTCGGCAACGGTTTTCGGCGGGTTGCGAACTAGGCCAGCGAAAAGGGACTCTTTTACTCCTCGCATTAGAAGACCAACCTGCTTTTCCTCTGCCATGTTCTGATGCACACGGCAGACGAGGAGCTTCATTTATTCGACGTATATAGGCACAGTTTCGTTAGGCTTTTGGATCCTCGATTGTAGCAGAATTTCAGCCCTTTCTTTGCGCAGCATGTTGGTAAACGTCCTCAAGAAATCAGTCTTGAACACCTCCCACGTAGTCAAAGAGGCCTCGTGGTTTTCAAACCACGTTTTAGTGGGGCCGTCGATTGCGAAGAAAACGTTACTCACCTTCATCTCGTCATCCCATTTGTTTAGTGAAGCCACCCGAGTGAATTGGTCGAGCCAATCTTCTGCATCTTCTGCAGGCGAGCCGTGGAAGGTTGGAGGCACTCGAGGCTGTTGCAAGATGACAGGGGTGGGCCCAGCTGGTAGGCTCATGGTTGACGTCGAGTCTTCTTTTTTCTGTCGAGTGCACTCCGGTAGTGTTCCGGGTTCCGGTGGCAACCCTTGTAGGCGGCGACTACTGCGAGTCCCGTCGCTGCTTTTAGGGGCCTCGTTCTTCCGTGCAGTTGTCGGCTCAGGGACCTGGTGCATACCCAGCACCTCCACCAGTTGTCACGCAGCCACGACGATGAAGGAACGTGCACGACAGGATCAGGAGCAAGCCGCAACCATATTTTATTTCACTGGGCTGACGTGCGCCCGAAAGAAAACAAGTGAACCGCCGTACAGATGGCGAACTACTACACTGGTGCCCACGGCTGCCCTCGGTTTATGGCGAGGGGCGTTTTCCGATAAAACGCGGTGCGAAGATAAGTTCACGGGTCACGCCTTCATGATGTAGCGCAGATACACACTAGCCACGTGCGTCCCAAGCAAAGCGATAAGGATGGCAAGTGATTGCGGCATTAACGCGCAAAAAAAAGCCTTTAAAGACCTCCAGCGTCGTTTACAGTCTCCTCCCATCCTTTCACACTTCGACGAAGATGCCCAAACTGAAATTCCTACCGACCGCAAGCAGCATGGCCATAGGCGCGGTCCTTGTCCAGGAAAGCAACGGGTTCGAGAGAGGTATCGCATATGCTAGCCGTTCGCTGTCGAAGGCGGAGAGTAACTATTCAACTACCGAGAAGGAGTGTTCGCAATCATTTGGGCGACATCGAAATCTGTCCCTTACATTACGAACGATCATTCAAGGTTGTGAGCGACCATCACGCCCTCTGCTGGCTTGCAAATTTGAAAGATCCCTCCGGCCACCTCGCTCGATGGAGGCTTCGTTCTCCAGGAATTTGATGTCACCGTAACATACATGTCTGGGAGGAAGCATTCGAACGCAGACTGCTTTTCAAGGGCCCCCTGTCGATGACGCCCCAAAGAACGACGACGAAAATGACAGCTTCCTTGGATCTATCAGTAACAGCACTTTTGCGCAACAGCACCGCGCGGACCCTGACCTGAAGCGTCTCCATGAATACTTGGAAGACAAAACTTCATCACCCCCAGCATCATTTAAGCAAGGACTCTCATCCTTCTGTTTTCAAAACGGCATCATCGTAAAGAAGAACTTGCGCCCAATAAGACTACGTATCTTATTGTCGTTCCCAGCAACCTTCGAGAAGAATTCTACAGGCTTCCCACGACGAACCGACTGCTGGACACATTGGATATGCGCGCACTCTCCGCCGAATCCAAGAGAAATTCTACTGGCCACGACTGCCCACCGACGTCGCGCGGTACGTAAAGACTTGCCGTGAATGCCAACGAAGAAACAGGCCACCGGCCAATACCCATAACAACCCCCAGCAAACCCCATACCCATACCCATACCACCCCATACCCAACCCCATACCACCCCCAGCAAAGCCTTTCTAACAGATGGAATGAACCTTCTCGGTCCCTTGAGACATCAACTTCTGGCAATAGAATGATAATCATAGCAACTGACTACCTCACCCGTTATGCCGAAGCAAAAGCCTTGCCGAACGGAACAGCAGGGGAGGTCGCAAAGTTTTTTTGTCAACTGCATCCTGTTGCGACACGGTGCCCCCGAGGTCCTTATCACGGGACAGGGGAAGAGCGTTCACGGCAGAGCTAATGCAAGCTATCCTGCACCACAGTCAAACCAGCCACCGGAAGACTACTGCGTATCATCCCAGACCAACGGCCTCGTGGAACGGCTGAACAAAACTATCGCTGACATGCTTGCCATGTATGTCGATGCAGAACACAAAACCTGGGACAGCATCCTTCCATTCGTCATATTTGCCTATAACGCTGCAATACAAGAGACCCACCGCATGACGCCTTTTAGCCTCGTCTACGGCAGACAGGCAGCTACAACGTTGGACGCCATGCTCCCAGATGTCACAGAAGGAGAAACCACAACGGTCGCCACCTACCTTAAACGTGCAGAACAAGCCCGACAACTTGCACGCCTGTGGATTAAGGAACAGCAGTCCATCGACGCTCGACGCTACAACTTACGCCGCCGCCATACGGAATACAAACCCGGTGACCGTGTGTGGATTTGGACCCCCATTCGCCGCCGAGGACTCA